AAGAAACAGACTTGAACTACTCCAAGCATTCTTTCAAGACTTTTAATAGTAGTAGCTATACTGGGTATAGTGCACACTTCTAAGCACTGCAGGGAGCTATTAAAAAAAGAAGGAATACAGCCTTTTCCCTTTTTTTTTTTTAAGAGAGTTTCGCTCTTGTTACCCAGGCTGGAGTGCAATGGTGCAATCTCGGCTCACTGCAACCTCGGCCTCCTGGGTTCAAGTGATTCTCCTGCCTCAGCCTCCCGAGTAGCTGGGATTATAGGTACCCGCCACCAGGCCCAGCTAATTTTTGTATTTTTAGTAGAGACAGGGTTTTGCCATGCTGGCCAGTCTGGTCTCGAACTCCCGACCTCAGGTGATCCACCCACCTCACCCTCCCAAAGTGCTGGGGCTATAGGCATGAGCCACTGCGCCTGGCCACAGCCCTTTTCTTTAAGTAGCTCATGTATATATGACCATAGTGTCCTGCACAGATCAATGGTCCTGTGGGACTTTTCCACATAGGTCATCATGCAAAGGAGAAACTAAGTGGATGCCATGAATTGTAATACTCCATATCTGTAAACAGAGCATATGTGAAGGGAGACCCTAGCATTTTTCCTATTTAGGAACTTCAGCACAAGGGTAAACCCTGGAATTCTGTAATTAGAGGACAAATCCTCCAAAAAATAATTTTAACATTTATTTTATTTCTATAGGTCCTGATGTAAAAACCAAGCACCTAATGCAGGTCTGAGAGTCACTCTGAGGCAAATAAGATCTGAAAGTCAGAGACCTGAGTTTGAAAACATTTTCTTATACTTTCTAGCTATGTGAGGTTACAAGGGATTGTTTATCACCCAGAGCCTATGGGCTTATTTCTCTAATGAGGTTGTTAGAAGCATTATATGTGAAGGTGTCTGAGACCGAAAAATAGTAGATATTTCTACTTATCCAAACATTCGTATACAACATGCAAAATTGTAAGAATCTTGGTTTTATATCAAAGTCAATTCAATAAAACGACAAAAACACACAAGATGCAGCTCTGTAAAAGGTACAGACATCTTGCCAAAGCGTAGAAGGGAGGGAGGTTAAATGAAGGTGTTGGTGTTAAACATGGTTCCTGTGTCTTGTTAGGTACAAATATTTTAATTTGTCAACTCCCACATTATGCCCTCACTGCATCTAAATGGGTCCGAGTCCTAAATTAACTAAACCTCTAGTGGCCTCTCTACATCTTTAGTATGAACTTTGGGAATTGATCTTATAGCTCTGAATCTTAAATCTGGAAGAACTCTGAAACAGCATCAAATGCCTACTATGCGTAACAGAGATCTTATATAATATTGACAACTAAGTGTGAAAGTGAAAACGACGAATTGTACTGCTAGTTTACAGAATATCAGATTTGTAAAACTGGGACTATATGTTCATGTAGCCTATATGTTAATAGGTTCTTTACATACGTATTTCCTGAAGTGTGGAAGTAGAGGAGAGGATATTATAGGGTTTGTGTTTGCCCTTATAGTTGATGGGGAGGTGAAAGGACTCCAGCTGTTGTGTCTCAACAAACTTTGAACTTGTCCAATTTTCTCTGTATGTAATTGAGAAAATCTTGGAACTTCACTAGGAGCTGTGTGTGAATATATGTTATTACTATTTATGGCTCTTTCTCAATAAGTTCTGGAATCTACCTTGACTACTAGGAAAATCAATGGCGAATACAGAGAACCTCAAGCTTTGTAGAGCCCGTTATATTTTTCAAAGTATTTTCATTGCTATTATCTCATTTAATCTGGTCCCAACCTACTATAGGCTATACAAGGAACAACACTAGCAGAGGAAAGGAAGAGAAGAGAGGCTCCTGGTAACTGCACTAGCACAGAAGTTTCTTATTTGCTGCTGATGTCTTGAAAGGCGAAAACCCCTCCCTGCCCTCGTTCCACTCAGCCTCTTCCTTTCAATGCGTTCAATGGCAATTGTTGGAAATCTTGCTTTCATCCTCCCTTTTCTCCTCCGGCAGGCAGGGAGCCACAGAGCCATCAGCTTAAGGTTGCCTGCAGTGTTCCTTCTCCTCTCCCTACTTATAGCAGAATGGAAAACTACAGGGAATGAGAGACAGTGTATGCATGCAGCAGCGAAAGCGCCAGACCTCTGAAAATCTGCTCCTGCTCTCCTTACCTGAGTTGTAAAGATTTAGGGGAAGGGTGTTAAGAATGGAGAATACGGAAATTTAAAGAAAGAATGAGAGAGCTGAAATTCTCCCCTGTCTCTAAAAGCAGGTATTATTCTTCCTGACACTCCTGCCGGTGAATGGATTCCATAGTTCAAAGGCCATTAACATGAAGAATTTCAACAGAATCTTGCTGTTTGTCTTTGAACAGGATATTCACAGTTGCGGAAGACAACGCTAAGGTCCACTCTGCAGCTGAATTTGGTCAGTGTGGAGTGCCTAGAACAGGGTCATACATGGGAGGAGTGTTTGTTGATGGGTTGAATAACTACAGGTGACAAGTTGCTAGCACTTTTCCATCAGCCACTGATGGTATTGAACACTGTTATTTATAAACTGTGAACACAGATATGTATTTTTTCTTTTCATGGGAATAGTCCCAGAGAATTTTAAGAAACAAGGAAGATGTCATCCCCAAACACACACACCCACACCCACACCCTCCCCCCACACACGCACATGCACACTTCAAGACTTAAGCTAAGGTTGGGTGCCAGAGGACAGTAGAATCAGATGAGATGGAAAGTTGTGTTTGATGCACCCATATGCACCCACAGGAAGCAGGAACCCAGAAGTTCCAGTTTCTGCTCCACACAGAGTGATCTGGGGTGTCAGCATCCAACCAGTCTTTATTCAGTCTTCTTGAACTCTGACCCAACTGTGTATCCTTAACCAGATACAACAAATAACCTGTCTAGTTCTGATTCTAAAACTCAGGTGGACAGAGAGTATCGTGAGTGTAGAACGTTAAATTACAATCTTCAATATCAAAGGGAGAGAGTACAGCTTTTATGAGATATCAGTTGTTTTTTAATAAGAAAACTGGAATAAAGGACACACACCTTTACATAAATGATATAGTTGAACACATAACTATCCTTTCTGCAATATTCAGAGTGAGACTAGAAACACTTTCAGTAGCATTAAAGAGTGTGTGTTTGTGTGTGTGTGTGTGTTACACTGAAAAACCAGATGGCATGTGATATAGTGTAAGGAACATTGGACTTGGAGTCAAGGCAACTGAATTTTAATCCCAACTCCTCCCAAATCCCAAATTTAATTTCCAAAGTTGTCACTATACATAAAACTTTGGAGAATTGCCTACCCTTTCCATTGGTTTCTTCACTTCTCAAAGTAGGCAAGGTGCTAATTCATCCCCAATGCCCCTTCTGGCTATATAAGGTTAGTTCTGCATCACTCACCTTGGGCACATCTTTATTTAATCAAATTAAAGCATGTTACGCTGATTTTCCTAGATTAAACAGAATGTACCCAACTTGATATAGGAAAACTTGGTGTTTTCAACAATCTTACAGGAAGCAAAAGCCTCCTAGCTGGGTGGGAATAGAAGAAGCTAACCACAAGTTTGAAGGTTGGAAGGTTAAAGCATGTTCTATTTTTTATCCCATTCCCTGAAGAAAACATCCTATGGGACAAAAACTTCTCATTCTGCTCTTAATGGTATTGGCACTTGAGTATTTCCTCACACATCTACAATATGTACTATCATGTTTTGAATTTTTTTTTTTGAGATGGAGTTTTCTCTTTGTTGCCCAGGCTAGAGTGCAATGGCATGATCTTGGCTCACTGCAACCTCCAACTCTTGGGTTCAAGCGATTCTCCTGCCTCAGCCTCCCTAGTAGCTGGGATTACAAGTGCCCACCACCACTCCCAGCTAATGTTTGTATTTTTAGTAGAGACAGGGTTTCACCATGTTGGCCAGGCTGATCTGGAACTCCTGACCTTAGGTGATCCACCTGCCTTGGCCTTTCCAAGGGCTGGGATTATAGGTGTGAGCCACCGTGCCCAGCCAAAAATTGGTATCTTTCTTAATTGAGTTATTACCATGGAACTTACAAGGAAAGATTGCAATTTATTGTTGACTCCGTGTGTGTGTGTGTGTGCATGTGTAAGGAAACAAGAAAAAAGGAGGAGCAAAATCACAAGATGTGGAGAAAGCATTAATTACTGTTCATCTATGTAGAAAGTTTCACTTCACTTTGACAATTCATTTTATCTGTGATCATCATATCCTTGATTCCCATATAATTGAAAGCTAACTCTAGAATCCTCTACTTATATTCTAATATACCAATAGCAAAGACGAAGCTTTATTTGGTTGTTTTGTAATCAAAATGTAATTTTATGTAGCCATAGGTATGAATAATTTTTCAGTGATATGCCAAAAAGTGTTCCTTAAACTTGTCTTTTAGTTAGAAGAAAAATCTGCAGTTCTCATGTCGCAGACATGTTACATATTCAGCTCTTGTTTTTTAATAGGAATTTGGCAAAGCCCTTTATAATTTTTTTCAAAAATGAGAAAAAGTACACTTTTATTCCATGTGCATTCTGCCCTTTAAGCCTCTAAATTTCACTGCTTGGAATAAACTCATAATGTTATGATATATTAATAGAATTTTAGAAACATTATTAGAGAAACTTTTTAAAATCCCGTTTTAAAATAAGGATTTCTCCAAATTCCTATTCAGATCTGCTCATTATCTCTATCTTTCATGGTACAGAGAAATATTCTAATTCAACCAAATTTACTCCTGGAGCTTAAACTTTTTAATTTCTGATCTAATACTACTTTAATTTTATCATTTATACCTTAACGATACAATTTATCAGAGGAAAAATATTATGAAAGTTTAAGATAACACTGGAATTCTAATATATCAAAAGACTGTTTCCTCTAAACCTGTTGCTTTGTGCTTTACTATTGGGGAGCTTTTCACTTATTTAACTAAATTCAAAATAGCAATTTCCAACAAAGACCCAATTCAAATAAATTCCATAAAATGCACATTTTATTCTGTATCATGAAAAAATATCCACATTTAAATAAAGTGTGAAAAAAAGCAAAGTTAGCCCTCCCTGATGAAATACAGTTTATTGTGCTGAAACCCAGAATTCTTTTGGGCTAAAAGCTTCCACCTGCCAATTCACTTTTCAAAATGACCATTTCTTGAGAACAAATGTTAAATAAAGTGATAATCACCACAAACTTCCCAGAAGCAGTTGAATTTTGATCACAATTATTTCATAATTGACCCTAAAGTCACAAAGTTAAAATATTTTCAAACATTCTGTCAGCGATCAGGTGATAGGTCAACAGTACATACAAAATTTCTATATTATACATTGCAGTATCTTTGTTTAAGTAGAAAAAAGGATCTGCTTAGCATGAATCAGATTTTGAAAAGAGCCAACAAGTACTGCTTAGCATAATGGTATTAAAAACATCCCACATGAAATTTTTGCATTGTTTCCTTTGTTAATGCATGAATTAATTATTTCCGGTGAATTTAACCCTTAAAGGCAGAGGCATTTTTTATACCCCCAAAATCTCACCAATATGGTTGCAGTGACAAAAACATTTAAGAAGTTGCAAAATTAATTCCCATAGTAACATTAGTGTTATAGTAGAATTTACATTGTAGTATACAAAATGCCACAACTAGTGTAAACAAAGTCACTAAAACATAGAATAAAAAGAACTGTATAATTTTCAATATATCATGAATCTGCACATTTTGTGTTGAGTACCAAGCACTTCTAAAAGTCATTGCTCTTTCAACAAACTACAATGGATGTTTTAGGGTAAAAAAATGGTTCTAAACTGGTTTCCACTTTTCATAACAATCACTTAAGAAATCTGTTCCTAATATGAAATGCATATTCCCTCTTGCTTTATTAACTGTGAACAGGTTATAAGGTGGAAGGCGACTGCTTGATGGAAGATGCTGGTGCAGTCAACCCTAAGGAGATGTAAACTATACTTATTCCCTCTCTGATAAAGGGTCATAAGAAGAGCAATGTGAAAACATCCCCTCAGAGGTCAAAAAAGGAATCCTGACCACTGTTTTTTCTAAAAATGAAATAGGCTAATCTTGATTTTAAATAAAAGTGCATTTGGATTTTGTGTAAGTTGACAGTTCATGGCTGTGACATAATATACCAATATTAAATACTTAGGACTATCAAACACTGTAACATGGAATTAAAAATGAATCTTTGCTGTGATTTTGCATAGTTTACTAGCTACGTATTCTTCCTGTTTGCAGTCTTGGTCTCATCAGGAACCTTTCCCGCTGTAATTTGATTGAAAAAGTTGAGGAGCAAATGAGGGGTCCATGACAACAATGGTTCTAGGAACAACAATAATCTTTATGTTGCTTTTTGCCAAAGTCCAATTTCTCTAACTCAATGGAGAGTCTGACCATAGAGGGAAGTGGTTACATTTTATATTATGAAATATGATTTAGCACAGAATGGGGATACAATTACTTAAATTAGTTATTATGGATACTCAGTCTGGTTTATTGAAGCATCAATGTGAATATTTTGGCTTTGAATGCTTTGGTCATTCAACAATCAGTGATTCTGCATGAATGAGAGAGAGTGATCAGATCTTTTTGTTTTCCCCCCATTAAAATGCAGCCCAACCAGTCAAGTGCTTAGGGAACTTGGGTTTGTAGGCCAGAACCAGAGGTTCTAAACTCACTGGTTGGTGGGAGAGCACTTATTTCTAAAGAAGGCCCCAACTTTTGACAAGCTTTCAAACTGCTTCCAAAGGTTTTGTTAAAACCTTAATGACACTGTGTCATCTTAAAAACAAATAAACAAAAGCTATTTAAAAGGCACCACACACAGAAAACTCATTAAAAGGAAGCAACTGCTATCCCTTCCCCACTCTCCCTTTTCCTCAGTTATAACTCTGGCCATAAGCTGCACTTTTTGGTTTACTGTTCTTTGACCAAGTGCCTTTACAGGTAGTACAAGTCATGACTTCATTTAAATAATCATGCAGTGATAATGTAAAAGCCAGGATGGAAGTGAGCTGACTATAAAAAGCTTTGGATAGTGTCAGTGGGGTCCTTCACAGTCATTATTTTAAAAGTAGGATTATTCCTTTCTATGATTACCTCTGGCTCAGTTATTAGCCAAGTGAAAACAAGATGGTTTGGGCTGAAGATTCCAGCATGCAGTGTTGTAATATCTTGGTTTTTTCTCCTTTTCTCAAGACACTTGCTTTCAAAATCTCAAAGTGTAGAACAAATAAATCACATTCAGAAAATTAACATTTTTTCATTAGAGAAAATTATTGAAACTCTCTGAAGTAAATACACATACTAGGAACTCATTAATTTTGGATATAAGGATATAAGTTGCCATTCTAAACAGAGATAGTTAATTTGGATAATGCATTTAATGGTGGCTTGGCCAAGAAGCCAACATCAGTGCAATCAATAAAAATATCTGAATAATCTACTTAAAACCCAATGAGTCAAAAAATAAATTTTAAAAATAAATTGCAGAGTCTCATCCAAATCCCACTATTAAAAATAAAAAGAAATAGAAAAAATCCTGAATGACTCTTGCTTTCCTTAATTATTATGCATTATCTCTTTAGGTTAAAATTCAACTGGAAATGTTGATACCAGTGACTGTATGTGAAACATGCTTCTTATTTATAACTACATTTGACAGTTTACTTTGGCTGATGTCTTTCAACTATTGGGAGAAGTAAATGAAAATTCCACTGTTAGGACAGGGCACCTTTTGCTTAAGACAGTATGATTTCAACCTCTGTCATTGACTCTGACCTACCAAGAAAAAATAAACATTTACATTCACATTATAGAGTGCAATTTTTAAGAATTATTTTAAGAAATCTTTAAAAGTTTGTGTCTGGAAAAACTTAGACCAGATGGTTGAAGTAGATAGTTCTTGTAACGTCAGTATTCTACAAAATAAAGTTTTCTCCCTAAGGTCTGACTGCATGTGTTAGAAACTCAACTTTACCATGTAACAGGTATGCTATCCCGGACAAGTTCCTTAACTTATACCTTCATGGGGTTGTTGCAAGAATTAAATTTGATAACCTAAATAAAATGCTTATCATAGTGAACACTTGGTAAATATAAGCTTAGTTAACTTATTTAACTTCTAAGTCTAAGAGTAAAGAAGCAGATAGATTCTACTCAGTCTTTTCTCAACCCTCGCCTTCATCATCTTCCTAGTTCCCAGTCCAAATCCTCAGTGGCCCTGACCCTCATAAAGAATGCAAACACATGGGTCTTATCCTAAACATGAAGTGATAGAAAATCTCGTCAGAATACAGACCAAAACTTATAATACATAGCACATAGTTGAGAATTTTGTTATAAGAATGTCTGCCCATGTGAAATCATGTATCTTGAACAGTTCATGATTATTTTAATATAAAAAGTTGAAGGATGAACTACTCTAGTTTTTATTTGTATAAATTTAAGGGTTACACATTTAGTTTTGTCACATAGATATATTGATGAACTACTCTATACCTTGGCCACTTATCAATATGCATACTTTTTTCACAAAATTGAGAATGTCCGCCAAGCAGTATGATTAAGTAGAATTAAGAAAAATCTTAAAATTTACCTATCTTTCTCTTCGTTCTCTCTTCCATCAACGGAGCTTCATTCTCTCCACGTTTATTTGATTCGTAGTTCTAAATTCCCAGAGAAGTATCAACTTTTATGCTGACCTGCCACTAATAATTATTTAGCAAACTATGCCTCCCTCCATCAACCTCTGACCAGATAAATCTCTTCTAAAACCTAAAAGAATATTTAGATAAAAATCACATCACCATCAATCCCTGAAATCTCTTCTAAAATCTAGAAGAATATTTTGATAGAGAGTACATCATGGATACTCTTCTATGAAAGAATGAAAAAGTGATCATTTGTCATAATGTAATTTTCACCTGCAAGAAAGATAATTTTTGCATTACCTAATAGTGTGTTGATATAAGAAGGCAACAGCTGTTATCTTTGTTTTCTTATTTATTGCCGGGGGAATGGTAGCATTTGGTACACCAGAAAAGGTTAACTTGCCCATAATTACACTTCTAGTTTGTGGTAAAGCTAAATTCAGAATCCAAGACAAAGCTCAGATACTAATCTTAAGGTGTTTTCCAAAAGATTGTTTTTGTCTTTTCCCCCTTTCCATTAAGACAAGAAGAGAAATACTTTTACACCTAATAGAAAAAATTATAGCACAACATTCACATGACTATAAAATATTCATATTTGAAAGTTATCCATGTATGATATGCACATTCTAGATAAATGTTCTCATTACCTACATGAAATTTTGGAAAACAAACTCTGAGAAAATTGCTTAAACGATGAAAATTATACAAGATAGTGGAATTCATTAGGAATATGATGAATAATTTCACAAATATCTGCCACTGCACACTTCAAAACAGTCACTGTTCTGAAGGCTAATATTAAAAAAAAATTCCAAATGACTTTAATTATTTAAAATAAGACATCAAATGGACCAGATCTCAGAGGGTGAACAAAATCTCCTTAAACAGAAGGGAAAATGTGATTTTCATCTGGGTTCCAATAAGGTTAATTTTCATAACGGTACTTCAGTTAACAGTCACAACTAATTTTCCTATTAAAGTGTTGAGTACAATAGAAGTACACATTTCTTCTAGAGCAATTTCAAACCCCAAATTTTCCATTTTTTCTTTGATATGCATAAAGTTGTTTGTAAGAAAATACTTAGGGCATTTTTAGTCCTATACTTAATGCGAGATGCAACTAGCGTCATAAAAATTTTCCATTTTAACAATGAAGCATGGGCCTGTATTCAACCACTTCATTCATTTCAACCACTGTGCCTGAACCATTTTCAGTACCATTCATGTAGCTTTGGTATTGTCATCTGGCTTTTGTGTGCCCATTTGCCTTTTATCATAATCTCTTCCATCTGCTAGATCACATTTAGTGCAACAATATCCTGATGCAGACTGATAAAACTTGCCATTATGAGACATCACTCACATTTCCATTCTAATTTGACTTTTGCTATTATGTTACAACCACCTGTCGAGGATACAGCATCTGATCTTACCTATTAATAACATCATAGAAAAATATTGAAGGTGCGTAAATTGCTTTGGAAAATGTTTGGATTTCAAATACATATCCATTTACTCCTATTAATACATTATTTAGAAATACAATATTAAAAATTTTATTCTGGATGCACCAAGAGCATCTATACAGTGTAGGAATAAAACATGCAGTTATCTGGTCCCCAAAAGAGCATCTACTGTCTATGTGCTAGCTGAGGCAACATAGAACATGATTGTATCATTATTGCATGTATTAAAGCAAGTGTTCACCCTTCATTCAAATCTGAGTAAATTCAACTGCTAAGATTTGTGGAATCTGGGAACCTAAAAGACTACTCTATATACAATGTTTGCTGAAAACACGCATTCCTGCTGAAAACAGCGGGGTGCATTCAGCACCTCTTCATATCATGCACACAGAGAACAGAGATGGCTGAAAAAACTCTATGATAACTGTGCCATAAATAAATAATTGATACTTTCCCTCCTTCTGGAAAACTCGGAGTAATTCAAAACCATTATGTTTCTCACATATATAAACAATAATATTGTAGGTCGATTAGGTGAAACTCTATGTCAATGTCAGAACACGGTAAATATTTGCACCACTAATATGCAAAGGCATGAATTAGAACTTCAAATCATCATGTTGTTCACAGTCATTCTTTTACAGTTTTATACCAACAGTTATTTTTGAAGCACTGGCTAAAGTTAAACTAACAACTTCTGTACTCAGATTTTTATTTTAACCACACATTCACCTTTAAAACCTTAAGCCAAACTTGACTTAAACAGATAGAAAAACATCCTGAAATTCAATAAATGTCAGAGGTCAAGAAAAAGACATCATCCTCACCATGAAAGCAACAAAATTCCAATTTCAAGGCTGATTCCTTACTCCATAATTATTTCATTTTCTTGTGTTTGTGGTAGGTAGATATTGTAGCATTACATGGAGACGTGCTCCCCTGAAAACTTCCATTATGGCTAATGGAAGTTATGTGCACAAAGAAAGGAAAACGGAGCCCACGGCACATAACGTATGTTTTGAGACTCCTAGATTAAAGAGGCACATCTTGTGGGCATGTGAAGTTCAGTAGAAATTCTAAAATAGCAACTGTTTTTATAAATCACTGTTTTGCACTTCTCAAGTCTGAATGTGATAACGTGTCTTTCAGTTCTAGTGGCTTTGGTTGGGGATACTGGGAGATAGAAAAGCTCATACAAATAGGTATAATAGACCAAAATATCTCCTTCGATTTTGCCATCATTTTTGCATATTGTTAACATATATGTACAGAAGGTCCAGTAATATATAAACTACTCACACATATTTTCAACTTCATGCAAACACTAACTCCCCTGCTCCCCATATTAAATGCTGTGCATGCGCTGACTGAAAAGTACGCTTCCCTGAACAACTTCCTAAAATATAGTTTAGTCAAAAGAAATAAGTTCTCCTGGGTTCTTACAAGTGAATGTGTATTTTATTCTCAATCCATATCATTTAAGGGACTAGCTATATACAGGACAACTCTTTGTGACTTTTTTAAAAAAACTTGACAATAGGCACTTTCTACAAAGAGGATTTGAATTCAAAAGACTAAAATTCAGTCTCTAGTATCCCCCTTTCATAAATGGATCTGCCTGAGCCACAATAGTTTATTGAATCAACTTAGCAGAAGTCCAGCAGTAGAACCGTGTGCAAAAAGCTTTTAAAAATTATAACCAGAATAAAATGATAGAAAAGCAGTTATCTGAGTCGAGCAACTTAATGTCTACTTCTTGGTTTGTTTGTTTGTTTTACCACATTTCATGTGTTATCACTACAAACACTAAGATTCATGTGTCAACAATCCGTACCAGTGTTTCATTCTTTCTAAGTTACAGACATGCCACAAAAATTTATCTGTTTACACTCTTTTTTATTTTATATCATAATAGTTAGTATTTTGATATGATTACTTAAATGCTTTTTTTTTTTGTATATTTCTCTGCTAAGAAGCCTTTCAATGTCACTCTTGAACATGTTTTGGAAATACAAATTTAGAGCATTCATAAGCTTTGGAAATTCAGCATCTCTTACGTGAATTGTCAAAAGGCCTTATACCCTGTGGTGCAGTGTTTCTATAATAATGTACACTATATTAATAGTTTAGTATTTATGGTGTCGATAATGTCAGCCTACAAGATGGCAGCTGTTCTCCAAGAAGGAGGGAGTAGGGATTTCCTTACATAAGAGCTAATGATTACTATCTAAGTATAATGTTAAAAAAGGAGAGGTATAGTTGATCAAAAATGTAATTCATGCACAAAACCCATAGCAATAAGTTTTCAATACCCCACGCTGTTATCTGACTTAGCAACAAAACAGTCATTTAAATGGAGCAAACACCGCCTGTAGGGGAAAAGAACCTAACACTAAGTTACAGAAAAATCCTAGGGAAAGAGATCATAACATGGTACTAATAGTTGAAAAGACTGAACTCTTCCTTGGCATTAATCTATAATTTTAACTTAACAGAACAGTGAGAAAATGATAGCACGATATACATACTCAGCCTGAGATCAAATTTGTCATGGCAACATTGGCAGGTTGGACCCTGATTCTTCAAATATTACATTGCCTTGGGTAACAAAAATCATACTCTTTTATTATAGAATAGAGATTATAAATAAATGTAAATTGTGCATGCAGTCAACTGCATAATATACAAGCAATATCTATGTTTTTAATCATCATCTTCTTTGGCAGGCCAGAATCCAGCTGGACATGCAATATTTACATATCAAAATCCATGTGTGGTCATCATCTTGAAAGCAAGTGAAAATATATATATGTATATACTGTATATACACACATATGTATATACTGTTTTAATATATTAACAAATATATATGTATATATATTAAAAGTGGATTTCATCTTTGTCAGATTCAGGTGATTCAGGCCTTGAAACACTAAAAATATCCTGACATGGTATCTGGGGAGGTACTTGGAGTGGCATTTGGGATTTGGGAGACGAGGCCTGGGGTATGCTTTTCTCTGACAGTATTTTTAAAATTTCTGCCACCTGCTTTTCTAGGGCAGTCATTCTGCAGCTGAGCAGCTGGATGTCCTCTTTGAGTTCGTGTTTGACTTCCTGCAGTGTGGTCTGTAAGGCCTGCTCCGGGATGGGATAAAACGGGTGCTTGGCATCAGCCTGGATGGGACTGTGCTCCAGCGGACTTCGGGCCTCCCCAGCCTTATCCAAACGAAGGTCACTTTTTGTAATTCCACTGTCACAAGAATCTGTTTTCCTTAGTGGGTTTTTGGTCACACTGTTCTCTGAATCACTGCTCTTGGGATCCTCAGACAATAGCCCCATTGACTCAGCTTTAGTGACATTATTCCAGTCTTCCTTTTTCTCCTCATGGGCTCCCATATTATTTTTGAGTCGCAGCCACCCTTTTCCATTTCCATTCTTCATTCTTATTGGGCTGTTGACTTTGAGACATTTTTGGTCAGCACCGCCGTTGGGCTTGAGTTCCATGGCATCGCGGTTGTTCTGCTTAAGGGATTCGCTGGTTTTCACGTAGGCCAGAGATGTCTGAATGGGAGTAATTTGTGACACAGTCACCACACTGGTGCCAGTGATGGAGGCTCCATTCTGTAAGGAGCGGCTCTCTACCTGGAGTTGGTTCCTCTCGGGGTCACCCTGTGTTGAGCCCTGATTCCGCAGCTCCTTCTGCTGCTTGAACTTCTGGAAGAGCTTTCTGACCGGGTGGTCCACAGGGATGCTGAGGGTCACCTCATTCTTCTGCCGGAGGCGCTCCTCCTCCTCTTTCTTCACATCACTGATCTTACGAAAGATGATCTGTGGAACGGGAGAGACAGTCAGAGCCTGATTATAAAAGCAGATGGATTAACAGTTGTGTGACACTATGCTGTATGTGCTTTGTGTTACAAAGAAAACCCTTCAACATTCAATAAGATTATTTCTGAAGAAAAAAGTCCGAATGCCATTTATGGAATTGCATTTATGAAATTTATGGATGCAATATGCCTTAAACCCAACACGGAAATGTTGGCTACTTACTTACTTAGTTCTAGTCCCCTACATATCAGAGGGAGAATTACTCAAGAGACAACTGAGTAGAGGTACTTTGCTTCTAGTTTATGTTCCCATTATATTACTGTTTAGTAGGAAATACACAAACACATACACACACACATATATATATATTTGTATGTGTATATATGTATACATATATAAGGAAATACATATTTATCCCTTAAATTTCTCTGTAATGAATTGCTACTTTTGTATGATTTTCCAATTTTCCTTATTGTGTAGAAATAAGATTCAAAACCATTTTTAATATTATCCTCTGTTTGAGTATCAGATAGTAAGAATTCCCGGCTATAAATGTACTGAAAAGTTAGACAGTTTAGCAAATGGCACCTGGGGTGGGTGAGGGGAGAATTTAAATTTATTTATGTGACCCTAGAAGGCAGAACTAGAATTTGTGAGAAAATGTTTCTGGGAGGCAACACCAGCTCAGCACAGAGACTTCATTGCAAACTGCTCTCTATCGAATAAACTGCCTCGAAAACTCATGATCATTCTAGCACTAAAAGGTTAAAACAGGAAGTATGTTTTTCATGTGACATGTTCACTGGGTTGGAGGTTGAACTCTTCAATTTCCAAGATTCTTTAAATTTTAAACATAAAACTAAATACATAGTACAGGTCAGGGGTTAGATATCCATAAATAAATGAGCATCATTTTATTTAAAATGTATTTTGAAGATAATAATGGGAAGAACTTATGATAACCCCATCAAAAGAAATAAAAAAAATGTTGGCTATATAAGAAATTGCCACATATATTATCAGAGTTGGAAGTAAAGTTAATGTGTGAGATTTTTGCTCAGAGTCCTGAAAAGCAAAGTAACTGCAGGTGAAGGCTGTAAAGAAAATGAAAAAAAAAAAAAAAAGAGTTATATAAGATAAGGCACTTTCAGAATCAGACAATTTTATTACTCAAGGAAAATTACTTACCTTGATCACCCTCTGTAAGTTGTTGGCTGGAGTAGAAACACATGTGAAGCATGCATTCTCTAACCCATAACAGACACTCAACATACATTGGTTCTCTCTCCTTGAACTCTCATAAAATACTCCTATCTGAAACCATTTACTATCCTTTGAATATTCAGCAGCTGCCTGGAGTAACATATAATCATTGATTTTACACCAAAAACTGATACTATTGATGGTCACCGTTAACAGAAAAGTCAGAAAGGTAGGAATTCCCCTTCCAGGTAAGAGGGCATTTTCTAAAATGAGATTGATGCACTAAATTCAGCTTATCAAGTGGTAATAATTTGTATTTTAAAATAAATTCAGTAACTGTAAAGGCCAATATTTTTCTTCTTGTTAGTGGCACATGAAATTGGGTCTTTTAAAAATATGTAATAATAATCTCAAATTCTGATATCAAAGCTCCAGCAGTTTAATTAGAAGTCTTTCAAAGGGTTGACACATTTCTTACGCTTCCCAAGTAAACATAGGTTGTACTAAGTCTTCAAGATATGAACATTCTTTAGAACCAGACAGACCCAGACACAGAAACACAGATACTATTTTCCTATTTCAGCCCCTTTTTGAAAAAGTACTCACTTTGATTCTATAGGTGGACATGACAGGCTTAACGTGAATAATTTTCCACATCCCCCTTCCCATTCACCACTGGCCCTTTTTACTTTTTTAAGGTGGTTGTTTAGCCTAGGATAGACATAGTGTTGGTTCGATGTGGTAACTGAGAGCAGCCTTCACATTTGGGAAAAGGGAACCGTTTCAAAGTCAGTGGAGTGTGACAGGTGCTAGGCACACAGGAAGGTCAGGTAAAATGCAGGTCCCCTGTGCAATATTTGGGACATACTAAAAACATCAGACATTAAAAATCTGAATTGGACGTATGTATCCTTTAACAAATATTCATTGTTTATCAGAATTTTAATTTTACCTTGGAGTCCTGTATTTTTGTTTGCTACATTTGGCAACCCTATTAGTATATACAGACAAGGACATTCCTATCTTTGTAATGTCTACACGTCCTGCCACGCAGAGACTATACTGAAAGATTTGGTATTACTGATATCTGAGAATTTGTGGACACCTTAGGCAAGAGCCTTATTTGTTTAGATTTGTCAATATAATAGCCAATAATTGCTTGCAATTATTGTGTGCTTACCAAGTTCAAGGTGTTTTGTGATGTAAGACTGTAACATGCCCATGTAAAATATCAATAAAATAAATCTTTCCCAGCTTCCTTGACCACCAGCTGCCCCACCCACCCAACCAAGAACAAACAAAAGTGTTTGAATTGCTACTCTTTAGCTAGAAACAAAGACTCCAAATACAAAAATACATAGAGCAAAGTGGGTCCTGGCACAGGGCTTGATTTCTCACCTACACCAGGGGACAAATGAGATAGAGCTGGATCTGTATTTTGCTGTCAAGAAACGTAAAAGTAACAGGGAAAGAGAAAAAATTGAGCTCTGGTACATTAGATGACAGAATTCTGAGCATTGCACATTGTTCCTTTCCCACTTTTTACTCCCGGGAGATAGGAAATTAAGTAATTTCAAACATAGCTCCCTTGAGGTTTGAGGGTACTTATGACCAACAAGACTGGTCCTGAATTGTTACCGAGTTTGCAGAACAGCAGGACCTACACATCCAGTCTCAGGAGCCAGCAATGCACGGTGGAAAAACATGCTCTTTAGATAGCCACAGATCCCTTCTTTGCTCCTTGCCCTTCACTTCCTTAATAGCTCAGAGGGGCACTGGCTGGGATGCCCTGGAGCTCAGGAAGTCACTGAAGTCAGTCATTCGTGAATTCAGTCTGCTAGAAGCCAGCCAAGGCAAAAGCACTGTGTGAGGTGGGAAAAGTTATTGCACCCCGTAGGTCACCTGCCACCAGGGACTTTCAGGCCATCAATTATGCCACACATAAAGACAGCCAGCAGTTGGACATGACCAGCTCAAAAGCCAACACTCTGAGGAGTGGCTACAGGCCCTCCAGATCTCAGACACAAGCCCTAAGTCCTGAAGTAGATCCCCCTTTCTCCTTAGCAGCAGGCCTGCTGACAATCTGCAGCCCAGTGAGAGGAGAAGCAAGTGCAGGAGGAAGGTTGGAAAGAGGGGATCATGAGGAGATTTATCACCCAGTCTATACAACTGTAACTGAAGCCTAACTGAAAACAGTAACACTTGGATTTGGTCAACTACTTATTATATCCAGGTTTGTAAGAGGTAGATTTTTTTTAAAAAAATTACTAGTTTGAATTGACTGTATAGGATTAGATTACATTTATTTTATTTTACTTTTGACTATGGAACAAAATAATGGTATTGTTAAATGATTATAAAATAGCTGTATGTAGCAATGTGGTCACTTCCACACATGTATTTTCCCATTTAAGTGTCATAAATGAGAACATTTTATGAGCTAGGTCCTATTCTCTACTGTAGGACATAGGTCCTATTATTCTTATATTACAGAGAAGCCAACTGAGGCATAAAGAGTTTAAGTGGTTTCCCTTAGGTCACACAACTGAGTGTCCAGGATACAAATCCGAGGGGTCAGATTCCAAACAGTCTTAACCATTCCACTCTCCTGCTCCTCAAGGTAACTTTTATACTTTCTCCTGGACTCCGTGAAAACTTGGATAGATGAATGGGTGAAGTAGGAAGTCGTGCAGCAGTTTCACACCCAGCAGGTCACCCTTCACAGAGCCTTTGCCATGGAGAACCACCCCTGAAAGCAGTGAATTGAACACGATCGAAGCTCTATGCTTGCTGGGAAAGTGGTAGCCTTGACCAGCACTTTGAAAGAGCTTTGTGGGAGGCAGTCTCTAGACCCTCCTCACTCTCCAAAGCAGAGCCAGTAGGCTTCAATGCATGCTACCATTTTGTAGCTTCTGGTCCCCTTCAAGGATGCCTTGCGTTTTTGTTTTGTTTTTAACTTCCTTCTACATATATTAAATATACTACCTTTATGGAAGGCGGGGGTAGGGAGGGTCAAAGAATGTGACTTTCCCTGGACTTTGACATCATCCTTGATTCCATTTACACCTAAATCATTTGTTTATTAGAATAGGGATTTCTGTCTGCTTTGCTAACTGCTATATCTCAAGTGTCTATAACATGCCTGCCACATTGAAATTCCTCAACAAATAAATGTTATTCATTAGTTCAAGAACCTTTTCATACATTCAGCAAATGTATGTTTGTTACAAATAAGAAGGGCACTTTATAGTTGCCCTTCACTATGTTCCACTCTCCAAACAATGAATCAGTGCTATCTGTATATTATTATTATTATTATTGATCATTAATGTCTACTCCTCATTTGGAAGCAGGAGCTATATCATTTGCCTTCTGGCATTCCTAGAACCTGGCCAGCTGCTGAACAAATGCATACTGGATGGCTCACGTTCAAATCTTTGACCCACAAATCAGTCATTGAAAGGTCTTGAATCAGAATTTGCTTTGATTTCATTGCAAGGATGCAACAATATCCATTAGAAGCTTATTTTCTAACTTATGACAAAACAAAATTTTCTTTCCTACTGCAAGGTAAGAGAATATAGGCACTGGAATTAAAAACAAATGAAAAATGAAAAGGTGATTTAATCATGCTTATGGGCTTTAAACACTAATTTACAAGGTGCTACCACCAGCTGATCCATATCTTACATGCAAAGTATGATAGTTTTTTGTTTTGCAGTTTAAAAGAATGTACAAATATAATAAATCAGAAGATAAAACATCAGGGATGCCTAACATAAGTAACTCACTGTATTTCAAAAACATGAAATGCAATTAGGCCCTCTCTATAAGTCCTTACAGTTTCAGAGACAGTTTTATGACCTAAGCTCCAATATTGAGTAACACTGAATATTTATTACTAAGAAAATTACATTTCTATGGTAATTATTATACATTACCATTATGAGTATTCTCAAATTAATTCTGCTGAACGTTTCCTTTTAAGAAGGGCTTTTTGGCTGGGAATGGTGGTTCATACCTGTAATCCCAGCTCTTTGGGAGGCCAAAGTGGGAGGATCATTTGAGCCCAGAAGTTTGAGACCACCCTGGTAACACAGGAAGACCCTATCTCTACAATAAAATTAAAAAAAAAAAAAAAAAAAAAGACACGCATGGTGGTACATGCCCGTGGTCCTAGCTACTTGGGAGGCTGAGGCAGAAGGATCACCTGAGCTCAGGAATCTGAAGTTCCAATAAGTTATGATCATGCCATTGCATGTCAACCTGGGTCTCAAAAATAATAATAAATAAAAATTTTAAAAGGAAGGGCTTTTTACCTTTAACTATATTTTTAACATGCATGTAGCAAAATGGTTCAACTTAACATAGCGGAAACATCGATAAATTTTATTTAAACTCTTTAAAATGGTGTGTTTTATTTACATTTTAAAAATTGCATCCTACACTTTGGCCATTGAAAGAACCTATAAACAGTAAGATTTTTCAAAATCCAATTGAATCTTTCATGGGCAACTGGCAAATTGTAACTCAAAAAGTAAAATGTCTCCTGCTAATTCAATATGTAATTTATATACTTTAATTTTACTCAATTATTATATGGATGATCATTTTTCTCTAAAAAACAAGCATTTTTTTAACCATGAAGAAATTATTATAGAAAGTGTTAAAGGATTTGAGTTCATAAGAGTTCAACTTGTATGAATTAAATGGTGTGAAAAATGCATATCCTTACTTATCAATGTAGTTTTAAAAGAAATCAGCTTTTAAAAAATCTAATATTTGGTTTTATTCTCAGTACTAAAAACCTAGACCCTTTTTACTTGATGTACATTGTGTCCATCTTTTGTCCAATGGCAAATCAGATTGCTGCTGAACACTACAAAAATTAAGGACAAAATTTAAAAACCAGAAATCAGGCTACGGTTCCAGCTACACATTTATTGGTAGAATGCACAATAACCTGTACTGTTTCTATCAGCAAAGAGATTTATTTCATTTAAGCTTTATTTTTCTCTGTACTTCATTATGTTCTGCAGAATCCATGCTGGAAGGTTTAATTTATTTAAATGATAAAAGCTTCTTAAACGTAACAGGGAACATGGCCAACTGAGCTTTCCATTTCAAAAGTAGGGCATTTGATCATAAAAGTGATATCAAAATTGAATAATTTGAATGTGTACTGAACTTTGAAATCCAATAAAGGCAAGTAAAGAATGGTTAGAATCATTTGTCCAATGACATGGATTTAGTGTTATATAATTTGCAGAAAAGAAAGAGGTGTTTTCTCTCAAATGGCTCATCACTTACAAGATCTGTGAATTGACTAGGAATTTATAGCTATATGTGATCAAGCAGTGAGTAGCTCTGGTTCATTTGACTCTCCTGGGATTTAGTTGGTTTGATTCTTTGGTTCTTCTTACCGTTTCCATAATCTTAGTCACAAATTCTAACTCTAGCCCTCCAATCCATGACAACCTGAACTAATACAACAAAGCATTATTTATTCAACACTACCATGTATATATCAGAGGCTGTAAACTCTCAGTGAAGGCCACAGTGATGGGGCTGTTGCAAATGACCATTCTACAAATACAGATGTGCTTAGGGTAACAATGATGCATGATACTCTGTTTTGAGACGTGGCAGCCTTGTTT